TTTTATAGCAATAAAGGAAGCAAAATCTGTGCTGTCATGAGGCATATATTCTAGAGGGAGAGAAAGACATTAAATTCATATGTAGGAGTATAAGGCAATTTTCCACATATATATGTATGCATACACACACAAACCTTCACACACTTCTGCTGTTAATGCAATGAGGCTAACAATGCTAAAGCAAATTGAGAACATTATAGAAGGATAAGAGTGTTATTCTCTCTTCAGATTAGTGGTTCAGGTTACCAGATATAAACATGCAAAATTGGTTTAAATAAGTAAAGCATTAACTGTTCCTTTAAAAGATATATATATCTTTTCCCTTCCTTCTTTTTTTCCTTTTCTCCTTTCCCTAATCCCAGTTGTTTCCTCTTTTAAGCAATTTCTTTCCTTTTTCCAACACTTATTGTATGTTTTGAGTTCCACTTACTCTTTCACGTTGTTACACGAGGGAGACACACAATGTCTACATATATGGGTCTGATTTATTTCACTTATAAGTATGGTCACTATCAACTAATTTGAAGACAACAATATGCAACATAACAACCATTGTTGAATTCCTATCATCTTCTTTGGTGAATTTTGGTATCATTTGTAATTTTTTTGTTTCTGTTTTTTATTATCTTTAATGGCCTGATTAATCTTGCATCTGGTAATCTGACCAACTTTGATGAAGATTAAAATATGTAATATAGCAACCACTGTTAGTCCCTATCATTTTGTTCTGAAACCCTGTATCATTCTTATTGTTCTTGCCTTGTTTTGTTTTTGCTTATTGTTGGCATTTTGCTATTGTTCTTTTTTAAAAAATTCTCTTTAAAATCAAAAAAGAGTGTCATTTTGGATCTGGAGGTCAAAAGCATGTCATTTATAAAGCATCAAAATGAAGCGAGAGACGGGAAAGGCCAGGTGACTATCTGGGAGACAAGTGTTATAGTTAGAGGAAAAACAAGTGGAACAGCCCCAAGGTGGGGCGAAGGTGGTGGGAGGAGAAGCAAATGGAGGAGAAACAGTGAACAGCAAAGGCAGAGACGGAGCTAAGCCACGAGACGACGCCGCCACCCCCTATAGAATTAGTATGCGTAATCAGGGATAGCAGCGTTTACCAGGCCCGTGGGGAACGCCCTCGGAAGTTCTTTTGCAGGAAAGACAGTGGTTGTGTTTTTTCCTTTAAAAACATCAATCCAGATGTCTTATAGTCTGCACTGTCAAACAGCAAAGGTGGAAGCAGAAAGACATGGCAGGAAGATGCCCCAGGATTCAGACCCCAGGATTCAGGATGTGTACACTCACTGGCGTGCACACAAATTGGCAAAAAGTTTTGGATCTTGCACCTCCACTATATATGTACACTATAAATTATAGGCTATGCTAATATTTATTCATCAGATGTTAGCTTGCATCAATCCCCTGAACTAGTATACTATGCTCTTGATAAAATATAAATAATGAAATGTTTAAAATGAAAACATTAAAACATTTTAACATAGGTTATTATCAGTTGTAAAAATATTTTGCTTTACCAAAATACTATTTTGACATTTCTGTTACTATAACTTTAGGTTTTCACTTTATTAGTACTTAGCATTTTTTAGAGCAATATGATCAATTTTTTTTTTGTTTGTTTGTTTTTGTTTTTTTTTGTTTTGTTTTGTTTTGTTTTCTGGTACCGGGAACTGAGCTCACGACCTTGACTTGCCAGGCAGGCGCTTTGCCGCTGAGCTAAACCCCCAGCCCCTATGATCAAATATTTTGAAAAGTTTTCTTGGTATCTAACTTCAAGAATCATTTTACATTTATTTTGGCTCTAAAAACACCTGTTAATCGTGATAATTCAACTGTCATCAACAAATCAATCAAGGCAAGTGTAATCATTAAGAACATGGTTATTATTTCACATAGTCTTGGAAATTTTGAATTCTTTGGCCAGTCTGTCATTTCTGATTAGGTCATCATGATTTTACCTCATAACGTGACAGACAGAAAGCGTGTTGTCATAGGCAAGGTAATTATCAGCTGTTAAATTTCCTCAGTGTTAGCGCGTTGATTTGCTATTATTTTCAATCTTAGTTCCGCAGGACTTTTCTGAGAATATTTGTCAATGTTATGGCAAAGTTGGATTTCTAAGTAGTTAATCCTACGTGGTTCAGGAAAGTGTAGTGTGAAAAAGCTTGAAGAGTAATTAAACAGGCACCTGAAGGCATAGAGGAACCTTAGACCACACACGGGTCTTCCCTTCAGACACCCCACCTGTCACAAGATGCATTAACCAACAGAGAACAATTGCTGCCCATCCATTATTCTGGAGGAAATCCTAATTGCTTGCTTTGTTTTAAAGATACAATTAAATAAAAATAGAAACTCCTATTTGTAAGCACTCCTCTCACTGGCTGTCTAGCGCAGTTTTGGGGAAACACACATCCCACCCTGTGCACCACCAGCCCATGGGAGAAGCGGTGGAGCAGGCAGAGGTGAGGCTGGTCATTACTTCAAGGGAAATTGTTTTAGGAGCAATAATCAGCGCGCTGAACTCACTGGTTCCCAGTGGATTACGAGGGCTTCTAGGACTTTTCACCCTTAGGGCACTTTTAAAATTACTCTTCCCAGAGAAAATATCATGACTGAATATTAAGACTCCACATTCATACATACTATTTTAGTGGGTATTGAACTTATTTTGGAAATTTTACCTCTTTTCATTTACATTGAAAAAGGTTGTTTCCTGAAAAAATAGTCTTAATTACTTAAACTCATTATTCTTGTTTCTTTCCTTCTTTCCCAACTAATAATTTACCATTAGACTATTGAATAAACTTCAATATTTCTTTGCAACCCTCCTTTTACATCATCCTCCACTAAGGATGCACTCTCAGAATATTGCCCTTCAAGATTATTTGAAATATATTTGACCATGCGTCTTGTTTACCTGGTTATCCCCAGAAATCTTCAATTTTATTCTTTTAAAATACATTATTTTACTTTTATATTTGCAAGTAAAACCGAGTCTGGCTACAAATGCATATACACTCCCCCTTGATTTTTCCTACGATGTAGCTTACTGGTTATATTGTCATGTACATCCTTTTTCCCTAGCAATGTATCCTGGGAGACCACCTTTAGAGAAAATTTTTTCACTGTTTTCCAACTGTAATAGCCAGGGATTGAATGTTTGTGTCCCCATAAATTTCACGTGTGGAAACTCTAACCCCCCATATTGTAGTGTGAGGAAGTGAGGCCTTTGGGAAGTATTTGGTCATGGGAGTCAAGCCATGAATGGGAATACTGTCCTTACAAAAGAAGCCTCAGGGAGCAACTTCACCCTCTTTCTGCCACATGAGGATGGAAGAGGAGGGCACCCGTTAGAACACCCTCCCCAGAGCTGGACCCTGTGTCCTCATCTCAGGCCTCCAGCTCCAACATGTAAGAGACAAATGTCTACAGTTTATGAGCACCCTGCCTGCACTAGCTCATTATAACAACCCGGAAGGAATAAGATAGCAGCCTCCTTCATGTGAACCTACCATGTAGTCAATCCATTTCTGATGTACTTTGGACTTATGTCTGGGATTTTGCTATCATGTTATTACAAATAATGCTAGAATGCTTTATAACATTGTGCACGTGTCATTTCATATTTTTGCCAATGTATCTTCAGTAAGGATTTGTAGAAGAGGAATTGCTAGTTCAAACAGTAAATGAATATGTAATTTTTAAAGATATTCACAAATTCTATGGTTTGTGGTTGACACATTCTGGGGTTTGTAGAGATGTGTGTCTTAATTTTTAGAATGAAACAAGTTTATACCATGTTTTTACTTTTGAAATATTAGATTCATTGCTCAGTGTATTGTAGAGAAATTCGAAGAGTAAATTCTTGTCTGTACTCAGGTTTAGTAAAACTCACACATCCCTTCAAAAGCTGGCATGTTACCCACCCCCGTTAGTAGGCTGTCAGTGGAGGGAATATGCCAGGATCTCATTAGCCTTTCCTGAAGGAAGAGCACTGGGATCAAAGGGGTTCGACAGGGATGGCTGCCGCCCCTCCAGAGCGCTGAGACAGGCGTGTCCCTCCTGCAGTACGTCAAGAGGAACTGGGTGAGTCAGGCGCAGCAGGCAGAGGCGGTGCTGACAGAAGCATTATTCTGCTGCGTGAGGAATGAATTCTTTCCCACCAACTAGGCCTGCCCGGTGCAAGACTGGCGGGGTAAGCTTCTGTTTATATCAGTCAGGCCTAGCCTGTGGGCCTAGAACCTGCAGCAACACACACACACACACACGCACACACGCACGCACGCACGCACACGCACACACGGATCGAGCGGAATCCCAATGCCTCTAGAGATGGAAAGAGCTTCCCAAAGGTGTCAGTGTAACGGGAGGCTTGAAACATGAGGAAATGACAGGGACAAGGCGTAGGAAGAGGAGTGGAGAGAGCCCGAAGGACCGCAGTGGGGAGCCCTCCTTGAAAAGTCACAGTCAGAGAAGTTTTCTAGTCCTATACTACATCTAGGAGATATTTAAGTAAAATCCTAGATTCTGTTGCATTTCAGGGCAACAGGCCTGAGAAATCTACCATTTTATGAAAGAGATGAGCCACCCTGGAAATCACTAGCGGACCAGTGGCCCGGGAAGGGCCCTTCCTCCCAGAAACGTCCACAGTGTCTCCCCGGCCCTCTGTGTGGGGAGGCGGGAAGATACTCAGGGTCAGCTGCTGCAGGTTTTTGCAGGCAGAATGTCTGCCCCTCTCCATGGAGATGTCTTTTATATCGATGCGTCAAAACGTTTTCTAAAATTTAGTGGACAAAGAAGGGCAGGAGATCAACGGGTAGAAAAGGGAAAGACAGGGGAAAATAGAAAAATTGGTATATTTCAGTGATGAACTAAAATTATGATCACTGCTACTTTAGAAAAAAGGTCATTTAACAAAACTATCATGTTGCTTAATTCTGAGTCTAAGTTTGTATTGAAATAAGAAATAAAATGTGCTTTAAACAAAATAACTCATCATAATCTTTTATTAAAATAAAAAATAATACGGTGGACTCAGACTGCTACATTGGTTATGATTCATCAGGACAGAGGTTTACATAGGTGTTAGATATGTACACACTTATGACATGATATCATGACATCAAAGGCACCAGTATAGTTTTAAGTATGGAATCGAGCTTACCAAATTCATCTTTAAAAATCCCAAAATGATACAATACATTTTAAGGCTATACAAATATCCAAAACATATTATGTGTTTTTAAGATGTACTGTTTTCATATATGAATTGCAATCACCTCTAATTGATAGTATGATACCAACATTCTGCATAACATAACACAACACAAGACGCTGTCATAGGCAACCAAGCACCAGTTTAGCCCATCATTTGATTTTCCCCCAAACGAATGGACTGCTAGCACATGCAAAGTGAACTGAGGAGTTGAAAGAACCACTGAAGTACTTTAAGCCCTCAAATGTCTTAGGCCTTAGGTTTTTTCCTTTTCTCCTTAGCAGATTGTTTAAGAAAAAATAGGAACTATTGCATAATTTAGGTAGATGTTTTCCATTTAGTGAAATCCTAGGGCTCACAGAAAACTATTCCCTGGCACTAAGGAAGATGTGGAGAAAGAGAAGATACATTTCATGGGGACTCTACTTTGGGGCTTTACATAAAATTTAGAGCATAGAAAAGATTCTATTGAAAATATTTAGAAAATATTTACCTGAGAATATCATTGCCTTTACTAGTTATTGGAAACATAATTCTCACCAGTAGGTAAGAAATGTACACTTACAAGGTAGAAGGACTTTGAATGGAATATTAAAATTTTATAATTTGCTGAATTATACACCAACATTTAAGGATGGAGAGATCTTTTATGTATGTACCAGTTATTTATTACATCTCCTTTTAATCTTATGTACTGCTCTAAATAAAAATAATTATTCCTGAAAATGAGACACCACAATCCTTTTTACTAATTGTAATTATAATTGTACTTATGACATAAACCAAGGAAAAATAAGTTTTAGCAGTACCTGTTTCAAAAGAGAAAAAGCAAAAACACTTTAATAAGTACCCTTAGAAATGGAAAATCATGTAAAAATAATAATATTTAGGAAAGTAGGTGCCAGGATACATTAACTCTCTCTTACCCTTTTCATAAAGGATATCACTGGAGTCAAGCGTTTTAGATGCTGTGTGACTGGGGCATAGTCAAGAATTCTAATATTATGCAACTCAAAATTTTGCCGAAAGCAAATGACTTTTGCTCTGGACAAGAAGCCACCCATAATTTGTTTCCATGACCAGCAGAGGGCGCTAGGGTCTGCAGTATGGTTAATAACAGGGTGAAATCATCAAACTTCAGGTGATTCTTGAGTTTGGACATTGCCAAGCTAAAAAAAAATGCTTTAAAGAAGAAAAGTGGTAACTGCTAAAGAAACACATTTGCATTCTGCAGCACTTAAATAATGTTGATTATTAAATAAAACAGATTTAACTGGCCTATTTTTGGTGAAGATTAATTTGACATAGGTTTTTTATTAACATTTCTGAATCAAAAATTGAATGAACAAAGAAACATCCCTAAAGCCATTAACATTAACAATTTACTTAGCACCATATGTTTAGCACCAGAATAGATAGTGACAGCTCATACTTAATAATTTCAATTGAAAAAAAACCCTCAAAATTGAAACAAGACTATGGTGATTGTAATGTGTTTTTAGCACCATTAACCAGTGAATTATTAAACATTCTAAGTTTTTAATTGACCTTTCATAAGTCAAAATTAGACCATGACATAATTTAAAAAATCATTTTGCATACGTTTAAATGTCTTCACTCACACATATGACAATATAAAATAATAATAAAGATAATATTAAATATTAATAGAAATGTAATTTTATCCTCCCTAAATACTTGAGCAGGTAAAGACTTCTATCTCTGTCAAGATTTGCCTCTTGTGCTGTGAAGAGCCCAGTGTATATTGTTACACTGGTGAAAAGCAAAGACCAAAGTCTCAGAGTTACTGTGCCTTTGTGGAAACATTAAACATATCAGTCTGGATTCTGCATTTATTTAATAGACAGGACATGAACCTAAAATATTCAAACTGGCATAGATGTATTAAGGTTACTTATACAGATGTTGTAAACTGACTTAACACAACTATGTGGAAATGGGGAAATAGATATTATTTCAATTCAAAGATTCTGAGAAAACTGTGTTAGTTGACTTGAGCTGCCATGTGGTCAACTCTGTCCTACAGCTGCATGAAACTTGGAAGTGAATGTTTTCACAAAGGTTTCAGATGGGAGATGTCAGCACCACCAAATGAAGTTGCTAGGGAAGCTCTGACGGGCCACAGAGATTTGATGTTTACACTACTGAGCAATATCCAAAGCAATAGCAACCACTATTTCTTCCATGCTTCCAAAGCACGCTGATTTGTCATAACCAAGAATATTAAGACTGTGCCTACACAACTTGGAGACAATTTTATAAAGAAATCCATCTATTTAAGAGCTAAAATGGTATTTTTCATTCTTTCTTTGATATAGAGGCCAAGAACCTACATTGGAACATAATATTCTGAGTTTTCCATTGAATAAAGAATGGTTAGAAAGAAAAATCAATACTGTAGAATATATATGCCAATTACCATTTCTTTTAAGTGAAACATTTCCAAGTAAAAACCTCAGTACTGACTCTTTAAGAGCTGCTCTTATGAAATAGCTTATACCCAGGCCCTTTCTGTCTCTGGGATTACAGTGCAAAATAGTTATCCTAGCACCACCATTGTATGCTATGAAAAATATGAAAGGCTGTGCTGATTCTAGTAAATTTTCATTTACTTGAACCTAGAAAATAAAATACTTCACATGGCTGTTTTATCTTACTAACTTTAAAAAGTAAAGACAGAATAACAAATATGCCCACTCTATTTCAGTTTAGTTGTTAAATTATAAATAAGCTTACTGTTCCTCTTGCATCTTAGAAAGAACTGTTATGCAACCATAACTTATAAGTGTGTAGATTCTAGTCTTAATCAGAATTGTTTGACAATGTTTTTGGATTTCTGTCACATTCAAAGCTTTATATTTAAGAGATATTTGTGATTTAAAAAAAGGATGAGGTGACATTCCGCTAAATTGTTGCAATTCTAAGCTTTTCAGCTAACACTAAAAGTCCATTCAAATAAACATATATTACATTGCAGCTACTATATAAAAAGTTAGGATAAATACAAAGCATTAGACAAAGTTTGTGCCCAAAAGGAGCTCTATTAAGGAAAATTTTAATTTTCATAAATTTGTATTAATATGCGAAATTTACCTTCATAGGAGCCTCTGAAATGTGTAGAACTAAGAAATCAAGCTATTCAAGTAAACTGGCAAGGGAGCTGGAATTTGGAAGTCAAATTGATTATTAATATTTATTGAAGTTTTCATAGAATACTACAACATTGTTAAAGATGAATATGTTTTCTAGATATATCAAGCAAATAGCCCAGTCATGGAGTTTCCCTCCAATTGCCTAGGTATTGTATGTGAAATTGGATTGGGGCCTAAATCATAGAATTACTTCATTTTACTACTCAAAATGTTTATTTTTAATAGCATCCACATGTGTGCCCACAAAGGCAGGGTGGTAGGGAAGCAAAACATTTGGTCAACATATTCAATTTATAAACATAATTGGGCCAGTTGTTAGTCATCAAATAGACCCAGTCTCCAGATGTTGGATTCTTTTCCCGTTGAATGGATCTAATTAGTTATCTGTCATCTTTTAATGTATCCACCCTAAGAAACTGCAAGTGTGTACAGAATTTAAACTACTAGCTTCCTTCTGTTACTTGCATTCCAGAACTTTGTTTACTTGCTCTGTGATCCTATAGAAGCACTACACTAAACAAAACACAAGCAATTAAAACGTGACATGTTAAGTTACCTTGACCAAAATGTTGCATTTTCCTCTCTGAAAAGAACTTCATGAAGGAGGAAATGTTGTATTTCCATATCACATAAGTGAAATTTTCATAATGGCAAATGATTTTCATAATCAAAGGTAATAAAGAACTGAACATTTTTCTTCTACAGAAGCATGGAAATAAAGTTTGGTAGTCAAGACTTAGAAAAATGTCCCAAAAGGTAACAAAATCCTGTCTCCATGAAGCATGAATGAAAGATCTTTAATATAATATTCAAGGGACCAAGATGATAAGTAGATTGAGTCTCAACACACACAGGCAGTGAGGGAGAGAGGAGTCCTTGAGGGCCCCACATCTCTGAGATCTCCACCACTTGTTAATGGGCCTGAGGATGGACCACACTGTCAGAATACGACCTTCTGACACCCTCCACCTGTCTTCTGGTGCAATCACCCTACTTCTGAGGTTTATCATCTGTCCCCCAAATCTTATTTTTCTTGGACTTCATCAGGTTTTTGAGCATCTTGCTTTCAGCTTTCCAAAGTCTTCACTATCTACTCTGCTCCAGAAACCTGTGGGCAGCTTCTCATTTCTCCCTTCTTCTTCTTGTTCCAAGAACCTGAACTAAATTTTCCTGGGACTTACTCCACCTACAGGTGTGGTCTGTTACTGTGTTTGCTTCCTCAAAACCACATAAAAATCAATTTGTTAAAAATTAAGTTAGTGAAAAATCACGAGGCTTCTTTATTCCCCGAATATCTTTGTGAGCTTCCTCAGGGCCAAAACTATGTCTATATTTGCATTATCAGATTATAATCAACAGAGTCCCTTGTATAAGGTAAGCGTTCAACATGTGACTATTGACTGAATACAATGAAACTAAATACAGGTATAAATTGACCATACACTTCAATGGACCCAAATGAGATAAAATGTCTCCAGAATGAAATTTATAATTACTCAATGAAATTATCAGTTGCAAATATTATTCAGTGTTGTTTTGCAAAGTATCATCTTGTGAGTAACACAGAAATGGCGTTGAACATGCCCCACCACCTCAAATGTACTTTAGAATAGTTTTCAATTTCCTTCAACTGTAGTACCATAGGATTTATATGTTACAAGATATAGTATGTGTTTGTGTGTATCCATATGTATATATGGACACATACATATGCATACATTATGATTGAACATGTATTATATTCCCTAGGAACATAATACTATAACTCCTTTTAATGCAAATTTTGGAATTGGATGTAAGAACTATGTTATCACTACATATACAATATTTTAATTTAGACTTAAGAGGTCAGAAAATAGAAATTGATATTTTGATTGTATCTAATGGTTAAACAACATACTAGACAAACACTATACAAATGAATACTAACCTGAAAACATGATTATCATAAAATATGTATAATATGTGCAAAATTAAATATACATATATGCCTATGATTCCCAGAAAGTATTATATTTTCTGGGGAGAAAAAAGTAGGCTTATTTAAACCAGTACAGGTAGTTTGATGTTACTCCTGGAAAACACAGATTGTCGGTACACGAGCCTCCATAACTCGGAGGGCAGGATGAACATGGCACTCCCACTTTGTATGGAGCCTCCCCAATCCAGTTGCCCCTGGAAAGGAAAAGAGATTGCATTAGTGCAACTCCTCTGTAAAAGATTAGATTGTCCTTACGTATAGACTCTCATGTGACAGGTGATCATCTTTTGAGAAGGTTTGTTTGGAAAAGCACTGAAAGTTACATCCATTTTTTTCATTTCTATAATCCACCCTGCATATCTTGCCTTTTAAGTGCTTTTCATCTGAGTGAATTAACATTAAGCATCTGAATCTACAGATACAAAGCGAGGCCTTGCAATATATGATAACATCATTAAGTCTTGGCATGCTGAGTTTAGTGCACCCTGCTCTGTCTCCTGTAGCAACTTTCTAGGGTACATGATTAGGTCATGATTACTTAGGCCTTTATCTCCCAAATTCATACTAATGATTTTCAAGGCTGATTAAAAAAACACCAGCATTTTCTGGAAGGCTTAGAAATGATAAAATGAGTGAGAATGCACCACACATACAAAAAAATACATTAAATTTTTTCACAGGATTTGTTTATAAAGTGGTAAGACATTTTAAATTCCAATCTTCATAAAATAAGCATTCTACTGAACCACATATGCACCCAGCCCACTGTATGGATATAGTAAAAGAAAAATAGAGGAGTAATTAAGAATAATTCCAGCCATTTGCCAATATATAAATCCATGGCTACTTACTTTTTTAGTTAATGGTGTTAGGGTTTGCTACTGTTGAATACACTTCATTGAATTACTTTGTACTATCAAGACTTCTCTTTCACTGTTTGATGGCCATGATCATAATAATAAATCAAAGTCAGCATTCATGACAGTTAAAGAATAGCTGTGATACCTTTCTGTAATGTGACTCTTTTAATTATGAAGGTAAAAGTAATGAACGTATGTTGAGTAGCCTGGAGACTGATAACTTGAATATTAAGAAATACTAGTATAGAAAGTGACGTAAAGAAAAGTGGATGAACAGGAGAAAATTGTGTTCATCAATGCTAAAAAGCCAGAATGGAAGATAAGACCCATGAAAGGGCAAAATGTGAAGCAGGTTGTCCTAGTCTTCTTTAAGCTGAAATAAGACCAATCAATGACTACAAGGAATCTGAAAATTTCTAGTAAAGCTAGTCACCTAAAAATCTAGACTTTTATTCACAAAATATCTCAGTGGGAAAATTTATCCACAAAGTGGAACATTTGCTAATTAACATTACAAAATAACATACAATTTTAAGCTATTTTTTATACCTAACTTCTTCTATACCTGGTCTTCCATATAATATTCTTGGAGAATAATTTTGATGATGTCACATGCTTGCCCAGAAACATTCAAGATCTATTTGTTTGTGAGTGTTCACCGCTTTCTCCTCCTCCTCTCGTTCTGCATTAATAATTGTAATGTCCTCTATATATTTACTCAAAGCCATAAAAGTACATAGAGCCTGTACTATTTAAATTTTATAGTTTTTCTATCTACACAGTTTTTTGAAATCACAGAATACATATTTTTGTAACAAAAGCTTAGAAATAAAATTTTATTGTAAGTAAAAATATTATGTGTTATATTATAAATTTTATATAAACCACATTTTTTTTGGTCTTTTTGAGACAGGGTCTTGCTATGCAGTTCAGGCTAGACTTGAGCTCAAGTTGTAGCTCAGGTTGGTCTTGAACTCGCAACAATCCTCCTGCCTCAGCCTCCCGAGCACTGGGATTATAGGCATGTGCCACAGTGCCCAGGTTTACCACAGATTTTACTAAATAGAGAATAATGGTATTCAACAGGAAGTCAGATTATTCACCTTTTTTTCACATTATTCACCTTTTATTCACATTATTCACCTTTTTCCCCCATTTTATCTGATTAAATTCTCTCTGTCCCTGTCTCCTTTTTTCTCTCCTCTAATTTTATTCTCATTAAAAAACTGACTAGAGATAACTTTATATGGCAATGAAAGAATTACATTTGCCTACCAGCTAACATGTGAAATTTTTTTATTATTTAGGTTTCAGGAAAAAAAGTTTTTATTAAAACTGAAATGTAGCATATTCGTGCTAAATCTTAATTTCTTGGATCTGTAAAGCAACAGTGTACCTCATCAATAACAGGAGAAAAACTGTCATCATGGACCAAAAGCAGAGTAGCTAAGTGAATGAGACAAAAATACCATTGCCCATTTGGTTATTTACTTACCTGGACTATGTATGTCAAGGAGAAAGGGTAAAGGCTTAATAGGAAAATATAAAATGTGGAAATAAAAATATCAAACAAATGCACAAATTTAATACTTTCTAAAAATAATACAGACACATTCTATTTTCCAAATCTCTCCATCCTCATAATTATGAAGCGGGAGCCATCGGAAAATCACTATTTTTCTAACTTTGCAAAAACACTGCCACTGGCACGCCGCCATATCAATGAGTAATGCACTTATTTGGGACACATTTTCTCACTCCCTCCTCAGGCTGGAATAGCTCGAGAAAATCTTTGTTTGGGACTTACTTTGGAAGACATGAAGACTATCATAAATCCTTTGCACATTTTGGAATTTATTCCAAGTGAGAACATACCAGTGCATAAATACTGGAACATTTGATCATATAAAGAATTATTGTTATCAAGAAGGCATGTTATCAGATATTGGCAAATGTTTTTTGATCCTTATACTATAAAAATCTTCATAAATATGTCTATATTTTGTGGGTTTTGATGTTTCTATCACACATTTTATGTAGACCATAGATGGTATTACTGAATATTTTTAATCTAAAACCTAAGAACAGAAATAAAGGATTCATCTCAAAGATCTTGCTTTCCTAGTGAAAAAAAATGAGCCAGTGTCCTAATACTGGTAAATGAAAATATGGTGGTATTGATAAATTCCTTATGAGATTGTTTGGGGGGCTTCTATATGGTTATTAAACTAGTGAAGTGCAGTGCAGTGTTCACAGTTTCCACAAGAGAGAAAAGAGGGTGAGGAGAATTTAGTGAGTCCAGATGTTTCAAACTGTTCTGCTTACAATTTTAGCCCAGAATCCTTGCCTTGGTGAAAAGAAACTCTTCACCTAATTGTTTTCCAGAAATACAGGAATGACGATAACTCTGAGGAGTAGAGGCCACAATGCTAAGTTTTAGTCTTTCATTAAGCATGTCTATCAGGGTGAGCATATTTAACATCACTCAAGACCCGGCAAATAGAACCCACACCGGTACTCACTTTGGGGCATAGTTGCATACCAAGTATACTGCTCGGTGCCATACTGATCCCCAAACATTCATGTTCTGGCAAGTGTGAAGTGCGCATCCTATGCGATTAGAAGTGGCCCAAACCATCTGTGAAAATACACAAATATTTCCTAATATCGCCAAGAAAATGATGATATACCAAAATAAGAACATTTGTAAAGTATGAATCATAAAATAACAAAGACATTGAAATAACCTGCGTATAATGTGTGCACATGGGACCGAAACACCTCATAGGACACCTGGGGTTGCAATCCTGAGGGTATGGAAAGGCGTAATCTTTCACTTCATCGTACCACGGCTTGACCAGCTGGAGAATAGAGCGGTACCTAAATGTTAAGAGGAAAAACAAAGACCTTGAAGTACAGCAGTGGTAGCTTTTGGTGGGCTCATGTTACACTGTAAATTAATTTTTTAAAGATCATTATGGAACTCTAGGAGTATATTCACCTCTCACAATTACCACCAACATGTAGTAGTATTTCCTAACTTCTCTAAGACTGGAGCAAATTATTCTATATTTGTCTAAGTGTATGTCAGATTATTTTGAAAAAAGAAAATATTCAGGAACCATCGAAGTCTCATCAATCCATATTAAAAATTTTTTCCATCAGAATTTTATAAACAACTCAGATTTAGACTATAAAAGTGGTCACAGTACTAGCACTGAGTGCATTTTCCCATAAATATAGACAACTGTAATTTAAATAATAGCACATCTAATCTTCCCCCTCTATATGGAAGAGCATGGGTCTTTGGAAGTTTGCGTAATGATATTCTACAGAAGTAGAAAAATTACCTGATCAGTGGAAACATACTTTACCATAGTTGCATTTACCTGCATATGTATGAATGTGTTTATATACATAAAAGTAAATATAAAAAATTCTACTGTACTTGTCTATTAATTAATATACAATTATATACAATATGGGAAATTGTGCACACACGTGTGGCCATGCATGTATGTACATACGCATACAATACAAATGGCTTTTTCCATGGTCGTGGAGCTTTTCCTGAGGACAGAGACAGTATATAGCACATGTTTGATTCTTCCTTAGGTTCTATGAAGTCAGTAACTAAGGGACTTTGTTCCAAGGGTGAAAGAGGAAACTATTCTCACTAGGACATTTTAGCTAGTTATATAACTCTTGAAGCCATCTAAGACATCCACTGGGCCCAAGATCACTCACTGCCTGACACACAGTGAGCCCTCAATCAAGTATTTTCTGGTACTACTTGAAATAGATGTCATTCTTTCTCGGAATCCTATAAATAGTCACATAGATAAACTGCCGTAGTGTGAAATTGTCTCCTACCTTCCAGTTCTTACGGATAGATTTTGGCCCAAAAATCTCAGCAAGTAAGAAGGTCCATGGTCCCAAATGCAAGTAGCTGCCCAAGCCTCTGCAGATTTTGCAAGATTTTCATCCCAAACCTGTAAAGATGAAAAACCTTCAGCTTTGATGGATTTTCTACAGCAAACAAAAGTAAGAAGACAGAAGTGGTGCTACTGTCTCCTGGAGATCTTTCAATTCCAGGTCCTGAGACTATTTTAACTAAAAGAAAGCAAATTCAGACCACATTGATATTCACAGTTCTATGAAACAATATGTTGAACAAACAAGAATTATTGTCTTTACAATGACATGTACAGCCAACATCTAGACATTAGTTTGTGTAAGGAATAGGTTAGCAAAAATACCATATCTGATTATAACTAGGGGACATATTACTAAGCACTGAAATTTGTGTCCGGCAAAGTCAACCGATTTTCCCAGAGGTCATCTTCACAGCAATAAGGAGTCATGTTACCAGTATATTTTAGAAACGAGTATGACCAAATTTATTCAAACTGATTTAACAAAGTTAACACGTCTAGCACTATATTGCAAATTTCAAAGGCCTGACTGTATCACAGTATAATACATTTCATAGAACCTTCATATTTTATGTCATTTCAATCTTTAGTAGTAGTAGTGATATTATGGTGATTTATATTTTTAGGTGAATGAAGTAGAAATAAAACATAAAATTAACTTCACAATAATACCTAGAGTATTAAAAAAAATACATTATGGTTTAATTAAATAAACTCAAAAAAATAACTTGTTATGAAGTTAAAAAAGGATGCTACTCACATACAGAAAACTTTAGTTAATTGAGAAAATTGTAAAAGAAAATTTGAGTGCTATTTTGATTAATACAATGACATTAATTACCACATAGATTGACATGCATATATCCGTAGCTGCACAGTGATACCAAACCAAAACTTTGTGGATCTATCAACAAAAAAACTATAAAGTGGTAGCCTACTTTTTAGTAAGTTACAAGGTACAAACATATAAAACAAGAGAATATATATATATGTATATTTGTATATACATATATATACAAATATACATATATATATATTCTCCACAAAAAATGTCTTAGAAAATTTCTCCTCAACATAGAAATAATTTAGTGATGGACTTATCTGTTGAAAACGATGACTTTCAAATTGAATTTTTAGTTCCAAGTCATGACATGATTTCTGAAATTATAATATTTATATGCTACTCAACCTGAAAAATGTGTGTTCCTATTAGGACTAGACAATGGTTAGTAACATATTTAGAAAGTAAGACCTTGTATGAAGAAGAAAGGGCTCATTCCAGAGTTACTAAAATTCACACGAAGCTTCACATGAGAAGCTGGTACTTTTCACCTCATTGGGCTGTGTGCTACAAGCAAGCGTTACGAAAGCTTACAAACCAGAGTTATCTTCCATAAGTTGATATAGAATTGCTAAGTCTACATAAAAATGATCACAAAGGTCAAATACTATCCTACTTTGCTAGGACTCAAATGAACTTTATAAAACATTCTTTTCATCTGTTAACAGATTTATGTATATTTGTTCATTGACAAAATTTTAATAAAATATAAATTTCCAAAATATGGATCATGTTTTTTATTTAAAAAAACATGACTAATTCATGAAGAGATTTGAGACGATTTCTATCTGAAACTTACCATTAACAAAATGTGCCTCCTGAAAGGTTACTTACTAATTGTAGTTGGCAAATTTTGTACCCATTATTTGCATATTAAAGTTTGCCCTCAGATCTAAAGATACTTCTCTTTCCCAGCATTACTGGCACTGACATGTTTGAGATGTCTCTATGGAAAAGCATCATAAGTAAAATGTTCACGAGTCTTGCTCAGGGAAGGAAGACAACTGCTTTCTTTCCCCACCTGTTTGCTGTCTGGGAACTGAAGGGAACAATTTCTGTCTTCTCCATGTCCTCAAAGGAAGATTCTGGAAAGCCCGCCAGACACAAGCCAGTGCCTACACGAAGAAGTGGTAGGCCCTCCACGGTGAAGATATAATTGACTTTCCCTCTAAAGCTTGCCGCAGAGGATGTCAGAGGCACTGTGGTCTTTTTTGCATGTTTCACTCACACACACCTTGTAAAGAGAGGAGCAGGTCTACTGCATATAAGGAGATCTGATATGCAGAAATTACATCTTATCCCCTGGTACAGTTGATAGTTTTATTTTTGTCTCTGCCTTTCTCTCTTGTTTATATCTCCCACAGGAAGATAAGTACATGATTTATGCTTGTAATGTTCAGTGATATTTAAATTCGTGGATAGGAAAGACCTTTGAGTTTTGAAAAGAACAGGCAATCATAATTTCAATAACTATAAAAATTTTTAACAAAAGATTTATAGTCTGGAGCAGTGGCCCTCTGTGATAGATTCTTTCTTATTCAGCTCTAAGATGGAATGAATATTGCCCAGGATAATAATGTGAAAGAATTATACAATTTATAGATTTTCAAGGAATTAAGTTGTGAATTGCCTATGTATTTAACTCCATTTGTAAATGTCTGTTTTCTTGAATGACAATATCTGTTGAGTACCTCTGAACATTTTTTCTGAGTATTTATTTCAAATAATCTTAATTTTATACCCTATAGATGTATCAACAGAGGAAAGAAAAGAGAAGTGTGCACTTATTTCTATGGAACACACAGTAAATACCAAAGTGCTACCATCTTTTCTTGGACAAACTATACATCTGGTAATAACTTAGCTTTTATTCAAAGAGCTTCAACATTTTTTAATAGCTCTTTCCTCTCTAAATAAACAAGATACTGTCATAGATAATTTTGTTATAAATGCTTCTAATCTTACCTTGTAAGGATGAGGCAAAACTTAAGAATATTATGCATCAATGTGGAAAAATATTTACAGGACCCATTAGAGCTTACTGTTATGATTAAAGTAGGTAATTCATCAAATAAAAATGGCCTACTGTGGTGTTAGAGTATGCCTAGGCTTGTAGATCTCCCAATTGTCCCACATGCTCTTCCTTTAGTCTTTGTTACAAAGACCCATTTAGTTGGTCATTTTGCAAATTGGTTAGATTAGCTTGACAGTCAAATATTCACTATGAGCTACTCTGCTTGTTAATAGTTAGAGGTAACTTGTATTGGACAGAGTACCTTGTCTATAAATCACAAGAAGTTTAAACCACTTCTACTGAGAAATGAAAAAGATCCAGAATACAATCTGATGTTGTTTAACTACCTAGAAGAGTTGCAACTCTAAGAGAAGAGAAATATGTAGAGAATTCAGTATTCTCCTTAAATTCAGAACTCGTTCAAGCTTGGGCTGAAGAAATACGCAGTTCAGTCAAGGATCATTGCCACATGTATGAGATAACCAGCTCTCACAGCTAGGCAAAGAATACAGTATGAATCCAACCCAGCTAAAAAGTGTCTTGTCAACTCTCATTAGATTTTGAAATTCACAACACAGTGAAAACCAGGACCATGAAAACAAAATGACATCTGACACCCCTTCTTATAATCCTAGCTTGTATATCTAGCTTGTATAATCCTATCTTGTATATCTGATGAACACATCAGAAATGTGTTCAAAATGAAAAGCGTCACTAAACATTACTTGGGACTGTAACTCTAAATTTACTTGAGTGGTATTTTATTGAGTGGCATTTCCTATTTATAAGCTCATTTTTTTCCTTAAGTAGGTAACATCTTTTAATTTCAAAGAGAAAAAATAAGTACAGAAAGTTACTAAGGATAAAGTTTAAATTTCTTAAAAAAAGAAGAAATTTGTCCTTACTTGCTATTAATATGATTAAGAAACATGATTTATTGTAGTAAGTAGGTAGTCTTATATCTTGCAATATAAAGTATACAAGTATATAATTACTTCAATTTGTGCATTTTAGGTTAAAATTATCAGAAAGATTTTACATTCTTGAAACACTGCTGCAAGATTTAGGAAAAATTAGAAGTACCTGTATTTCTTGGCTAATATGACTTATCTAAATATATGGAAAGAATAATCATCAAGGAATCTATTGAAATATTAAAAAGTAAGTCAAAAATACTAAAGTTATAGTTTAAATTTTTAATTTGTAAATATAGACAGTAAATATCACTGTCAAAATTTGCAATGTTTATGAAACACAAAACTATTCACAAATTGAAGCTAAAATTTAAGGAAGAAACAAGAATGTTAATTTGGAAATTAAAGTGAACTATGTAACATCTATCTGCACTTGGGAACCATCTTCTAAGATATGAAATGTTAAAGGCAAATATAGTCATCTTTGCATTTCTGAGTATGCCATGTGATAGGAATGACATTGGAGACAGTATCGTGTGTTCCAGAGACATTCGTTTTCTTAGACATTTATGTGGTCACTTTTCACATACTCCAATAAAATTAAATACATTTTATACAATTTTTTGGTTTTGTTTTTAACAGCGTACATAGCGCTATTTGATATTTTTGTTAGATTATGAAAAGAGTGCCGACCTGAAGAGGTTAGAACCAGTCACTAACACACTAAATGATGACAACATTGTTTCCCCCAGGGTAGCCACAAGCTTGAAGACACGTGTTGGACATTACTGCAATACTGTCTTAAAGCTGGTTGGCTTATCCTCTTAGAATGAAAAATCTGTGAAATTTGCAGATGAAGGAAACCGAGATGAATATGCAAGAATCTTGTTAAACAGACAGGTGGGCAGCAGCGAGCCTGGTTTAGATTGAGGGAGAGGAAGTGTCATCCAGAGAAGGAAAGCTTCCCTAGAGCTTTCCTCTAGGGAAGCTCTACTTTGTAACGGGGGGAAAGGAGAAGGTTAGAAGAACTTGATTAAAACAGCATTCTTTCCAGCCTCAACCGTAACTACAAAAATGAGGTTCCATTACATAAAAAAATCAAGGTGGGATACCAAGGGTTTAGTACATGTTTAAAAGAAGATAACAGAGTTCTCCTTATGATAATACTAAGTCCGTGTAGGTTTTCTCAAAAATCTTTAAATAGATACACTGTTTTTAGGGACTTCAAACTGAATCACTGCCAGCATTTGTACCTGTGTTGTAAAGATGATTACCATTATCAGCATGC